TAACTCATTAAATTCTTTGAAATTGTTGCATGTTGCATTTATATTTTTGTTCAGTATAAAAAAACTAGACTAAACATGACTACAGACTAAAAGTTCATTTTTAATTAAAGCCACTGAGCCACTGCTGATTACCATGGATTAGTTATATTTACCTTTGAAGAGAACTGTGCCGGCTTACAGTCCCTGGGGCCACAGGCAGGATGTGCTTACAATAAAGATATTTAATTATGTGGTGTAACAGTGGTGTAATAGGGTATGAGGTTAGAAAGAGGTGTATGAGGTTAGAAAGAGGTGTATGAGGTTAGAAAGAGGTGTAGCCACAATTATTGTCAGGCAATGTCATACCACATCAAATAATACGTGCTGTACATCACTAATAACAGCATCATCATCATCATGCACTAATAACAGCATCATCAGGTGGTACTGATCCTCCCTCTCAATGGGACCGCTTCCACCCCAGTGGACTCAGGGCTTCAGCATGACTAGCACCTGACACAAACACCACCAGGGAGGCTGACAGTGTCCTGACCCACTTGCCCCAGAACTGTTGGTGCACCTCTCTATTGGCCAATAAGCCTCACTGGGAGAGGGGAACATACTGTATCCCTAGAGTAACCTGATTTTCCACATCTTCAAAAGCCAAATGGGAGAGATGAAAGCAGCAATTCGGCATTTGGAAAAACAACAAAGTGGTCACCCCACCACCTTTTTTGGTAAACAGCTAAGAAAGGGTGCTGGAGAAATGAAACCACTCTCAAATTCATAGACAGAGCTGTGAAGATGGATGTACCAATGGATGTACCAATCCTGGATTTCCGATTGTTTTTGACTGGGGTACAAGTGACCTCTCTTCACTCTTTCTTTTCTTTTCATTGTGAACTTGTATTTATAGGGTTATTTGCAGGAAGATGCAATGAAAATAAACTTTATGGACCTTGACTGAGGGTCTTTCTTTCGTCTAAAACTCTGCCTCATCTATCACCTTGCCTCAACTTAGACAGAAGCTGATCAGCTGTGGAGATGAACTTCTCTTAAATAGGTAAGAAGAACTGATTTAAAGGAAATAGTGTTACCTGTATAGACAAGGTGAAATGTCATGGTCACCATGGAGTCGAGCAAGAGAAGAAGGTCCCAGAGCAAAAGGAGCAAGAGAAGAAGGTCCCAGAGCAAAAGGAGCAAGAGAAGAAGGTCCCAGAGCAAAAGGAGCAAGAGAAGAAGGTCCCGGAGCAAAAGGAGCAAGAGAAGAAGGTCCCAGAGCAAAAGGAGCAAGAGAAGAAGGTCCCAGAGCAAAAGGAGCAAGAGAAGAAGGTCCCGGAGCAAAAGGAGCAAGAGAAGAAGGTCCCAGAGCAAAAGGAGCAAGAGAAGAAGGTCCCGGAGCAAAAGGAGCAAGAGAAGAAGGTCCCAGAGCAAAAGGAGCAAGAGAAGATGGTCCCAGAGAAAAAGGAGCAAGAGAAGAAGGTCCCGGAGCAAAATGAGCAAGAGAAGAAGGTCCCGGAGCAAAAGGAGCAAGAGAAGAAGGTCCCAGAGCAAAAGGAGCAAGAGAAAATGGTCCTGGAGTGCAATCTGCAGTGGCTACCAAACGCAAATGTGGACCGACCAGTATTTACCCCACTCAGGAGAGAAATGGCTCCTTCAAGAAGATTGCAGTTCAGCCTGTGAACCAACCCTCTCCATCATCCAGCTGACCCTTAAGGAGTTCTTCAAGGACATGTGGAGTTTTTCAGCCATGAAGTAGTCGCTCACACTTCTACATGAGAGCATGGTGGAGCAAATTCTTACCTTCACTCGAAGGAGAAATGAGGAGGGAGGTCCTCCTCTCATATCTAAATACATTTCTAGAGGTCTGCAAGCTTGTGGATGGATGTTTACTGGAGGCTTTGAGACATCTGGACCTGCAGCCAGAGGACTATGGTAGGAGCGTCAGTGCATCTGATGTGCTCAAGACAATGTTGCAGATGCACCTGCAGGAAAGAGGAGAGCAGAGGTGTGAGGACAAGGAACTGCCAAAGCTCTCTGAGCCAAATGTTGCTGTCATGCAAAAACTGGCATTCACACATGACCTGTCATCCGAGGTACAAGTCAGCTAGCACTAAGTTTGTTTTTCTTCCTATTTACCTTTTCCAAAATTCTCAAATTGGGGTGCTTTAGGGGGTTTTACAAAGGGAGGGAGCAGGATGTTGTTGTACAGTCATTATCACCCTTATTGGCCACAAGCGGAAGCTAAAAATAATTTTAGTGTCCGGGAAGAACTTTGGGGCCTAGTTGTAGCCTACAACTTCCTTAAATTAACGTTTTTAGTGCAAGAGATTAGAGCAGCATAGCAAAGTCACAAAGCAACAGACAATCTTCATACTCTGCTCCTGGTTGGAGCAATTTATAACAACTTTATTGCAAAAATACAAGTTCCATCTGCTAGCACATCATTTACAAACAAAGTCCAAAATGGAAATCTGTCAACCCTTCCTTTATACTACCAAGAAAACCCATCCTTTTAACATTTAAGGTTGAAGGCTATCATTATCTGTACACACATTTACACTGTTCAGTTGTCGCAGTATCTATTTATTAGCATGTTAAAAAAATAAAATGGACACATCAGTTACCTTCTGTTCTACTGGTAATCCACGAGGGGGCAGTGTTGCATAAGGTACACAAACTAAGGATTCATTCCTTTTCATTAAAATGACTCTCACTAAAGTGGCACTCTTTGGTTAAGTGTTTAACATCTGCAACAATCCAGTTACATTTCAGTTTCAGAGACTGTTTTCCCTAAAGAAGGCCAACACCACTCACACCCGATGAATTGCACAACAGTTGTGCATCCTAAATTCTGCATTAACTATATGATTTTAGAAGTTGTTTTATATTAAGACACTCAAAACCTTTCTTCCATAAGCTCCTTTCTCTTCATATTCCCTCAGTCATATCTACATTGTAGAAAGATAAGTGTAAAAATATTCCAAAACAAATCAGCAATATCGTAGATAGCAACAAAACATAATTTTGTAATTTCCTTCATTTCAGATTGTAGATAACCTAACTGTATTTTGTAAGATGTAGCTTGCTTTTCCTCACAAGTCAAAAAAGCAACTTCACTGTAATTGGGACTCTAATGATCCATACGTTTACATCAGATCTAAAGTCTGCCTCAAAAACTAGGCAAAGTTGGCTTTTGTTGTATTTCAGAGCTATAAATCAGCATCTTAGTAATGTCTGGGGTGAGATTTGAATTAGGAACATTAAACTAACCATCTCCGGTGATAGCGCATCACAAAGATAAAAGATCAAGAAAAATGGCTCTAGCATTCAAGATTCAACTAGTAAGATTTGTTAAAAGCCATTGAATTGACAGTTTTATAGTCAGTTCCCATTATGTTCTCTTTAAAAGTATCCTAAAACACAGATGTGTACACTGTCATTACGTTTTCTCTAAGAGTGTAAACCTCTGTACTGTACCTCCTTAGCACTCAGAATCACCATCTAACTTACACAAGTACAAAAATAGGCTAACATTGAGCGTCTCCCGTAACAATGGGAGAAATGTCAATAGAATTAAAACAGCAACAGATACAATTATCCTAACACTTCTAAAGTGCACTAAACTTGTGTTAACGCAGTTAAGTAAATTCATTGCTCTAAATCTCATATATACTTATTATATTGTACACGAAGCCGAGTGATTCCCTCAGTCATAGATCTGCTGAACAACCATGCATAGCTGCAGGGCTGTGAAAAGCCTCTCTAACTGAGAGATACACAGGCCCATTCTGCAAGAGGGCTCTAGTCACCAGACAGTGCTAGCTAGTTGAGAGAATGCAAAGTACAGCAGGTCTATGGCAGAGTATATACAGGTTAGGCCGATAGATTAGTTTGATCATATATACACTACTTACCCAGAGCTCCCTAAAAATTATAAATACAGTAATACAGTAAGTAAATACATCTGAGAGCTCAGAGGGTCCTGTTTTAGTGTCAGTATACATTGAGGATACAGTATACATTGTATTGTCTATCCAGACAGAGAAGGGTTGGTATGAGAAAGCAGCCTTATGATGCATCTATTTCACTGTTTCACACCTGTTAAGAGTTTTAATGAGTGACAAGAAAACGTGTAAAACTTAAACTGTATCTCTCATTCTGCCTTGCCCTCATCCCCACCATGTAACTCAACTTCCATCTTCATTCTTCATCTGTAACAGGCTTCCTCAAACAATGGGTTAATTTGCGACCCCTGGGAACATCAGTGTAACCCTAAACTCCAGCTGTGTTGGTGCTGATGTGTTTATGGGGGAATGAGGGGTGTCCTAACCTCCCAGAAGCACAATGCCTTAATGGCCATGTACTCTTATAATCTCCGCCGGCACAGCTAGAAGAGGATTGGCCACCCCTCAGAGCCTGGTTCCTCTTTAGGTTTCTTCCTAGGTTCCTGCCTTTCTAGGGAGCTTTTCAGAGCCAACATGCTTCTACATCTGCATTGCTTGCTCTTTGGGGGTTTAGGCTGGGTTTCTGTATAAGCACTTTGTGACATCTGCTGATGTAAAAAGGGCTTTATAAATACATTTGATTGATTGATTGATTGATTCATTGAGTGCCTCTTGCCATCTACCTCAGTTGACACTATGCAGCCCCACTTCTACCCAGCCTGGACTCGGTGACCTTCCAATGCTGGATCACATAATCTTTAAATAACCTTAGATGACGAGCAGCCATAAAGGCTAAATATAAACTCTATAGAAATAGACCAGGTTAAGGACCAGATATAGTGGTTGGCCTGTCTGGTTAAAGAGGGTTGGGGTGGGATGGGGGGTGGGGTTATAGTATCAACATTAATTGATGGAAAACGAAAGGACCACAATCTGCTAGAACAATGTGCCCCAAGATTGCTGTGAGTCTCCTTAACTGCATTCTACAAATAGCCCAACGGGAAACAGTGAGAGAAAGAGGGTGTGTGTGTTTGGAGTAAACTGGGTCTGTTTGTAAGGTGACGGTGAGCTGGATCAGCTGACAGGCCGGAAACGGGCCATGTAGGCCCCACAGGACTGGCAGTAGTGACGGGAGGGCTCGGTGGGCAGCTGTTGGCACAGGGAACAGAGCTGGGCACTACCGGGGCCACGGGATGATGCCCTCATACGGGGGTGGTCATGCCTCTGGGTGGGCTGATGGAGGTGGTGGGCATGCCGCATGGGCATGGACGGTGGTACCATCCTGTAGTCGGGGGTCCTCCAGTCATCATCCGGGGGTACGTCCAGGCGGAGGGGCTGGTTGGAGGTCTCGCTGGAAAGCCGGTGGTGTTGGGGTTGTAGGCGGGAAGGTAGGGTTCCATTCGACCTGCTGGATTGAGGGGGCTGCCTGTAGCCATTGATGGTGCCACTAGGGGGGGCAGAGCGGCAGGGGTGGGAGAGGGTGGCATAGCCCGTGTCTGTGCGGCTGTAGTACCCAGGGCCCGGGTTGGGTCCATCCCTGGGCCGGGGGAGAGAGGAGGACCAGGATGGAGGTGCCCTGCGAGGTGCCCGCGGAAGCGTGCCGTTGCTCAGTGCAACACTGTGGTAGTTTTCACGGGAGAAAGCTTCACCCCAGTCAAACACAGCCAGAAACTGGTCTCCCTTCTGGTGACCTCCTGTGGGGGCAGAAAATCATTAGAACACAGCAGAGGACTACCACAGTAGAGGCCCACTGGGAAACACACTGGACAATCAAAGTTCTGCAAATGGGTCGCATTGTTTTGTGCCATAGTCTACTGTTCTACCCCTACATGAAAATATAATTCATTATTGAAAATGACCTAAACCCTGTAGTATGACCGGACATACATAGACAATGAGAGGGATAAAAGTCAAAGTGAGTGTTATGTGATCCACTTCCCATGGCTGGTAGGGCCAGCATGGTGCTGTGGTCTGATGACTGGAGGTGGTGGAGGTCGAGGAGGCTGATGGTTACCTGAGCGTCCCAGATAGGGCCCTGTGGAGGGGGGCCGTGCTGCCTGCTGAGGGGGGTGCTGGGGCAGTGCTGGGGGGCTGTAGTGATGGTTGTTGTGGAGGTATTGGTGTTGGGGTTCGGATGGAGAGAGGTGGGTGGAGGAGGGAGGGGGGTGCAGGGAGGATGTGCTAGGGTGACGTGCGGGGACTCGGGAGTCTGTATGCTTTGGCATCCTGGTAACTGGGGGCTCCTTTTTTTTAGTAAAGGTTCAGGGTGAGAGAGAGAAGAAGAGAGAAAAATAGAGAAATCCACCATAAGGTGAGAATGCCCAACAGTTGCGAGGCAGGAAGGAGAGGAGGATAAGAGGAAGACAGATGAGTTAAAACAGGGACAGCTGACCCACACTTCAGTGAAAAGGAAAACAAAACAAAACCAGTCAGGAATTCAATGGCACTACAAACCTCACCATCTATTTATATAATGCAACAGTGCCATGTCTAGTGCTGTTCTTTGTTCTTCAGCCAAAGAATGTAAGCTGAACACAAGGTTAAAAGCTTAATGGATGAACTAAATTAACAAAATGCCGCTTCTAGCATTTTGCTGAGTGAAGATCACACCACTAGGGGCTCTATTACAGCACACCATGGCAGTTGTATTATGTGAACACCAGATGGCATTATGACATTATGAAACAATCACATCCACTGGGAGGGAGGTGTGATGATGATGATGATGAGGTACATTGATGGTACATGACATGATGATGTAATGGTGTGCTCACCCAAGGTAACACAGACAGCACTGAGTGGGAGTGACAGCTGTGGCCTTTCCAAGTCAGGAACTGAGGCTCACGTGTGAGGCTCTGTGTTTGTGTGTATGACATATGCACACTGTGTGTGTGCGTGTGTGTGTGTGTGACTCACAAAGCTGCGGGAGTGGGCGAGGAGTTTGGGTCGTCCCCCTATGACGGTGCCACTCAGACTGCGGGCGATGCGGCGGAGGTTCTCAGCACTGTAGTTCTCGTCATCTCCCTGTGGTTGCTCACATGACCCAGGCTACAGGGACACAACAAACACATTGTGTCAAACACACTCCTACACACACACGCATGCACAACAGGGCTCGGCATTCAGGGCTGCCCGCTGGCCTGGCACATTCTGCCGAGCTCACCAGGCCAGTTAATCAAGCTTTCATATGGCCCGCTTGGGCCAGCACATTTTCAAACTCCAAAACAGACAAATAATATTTTATATTTGTATTTAATCCTTGACAATCTTCCTGACGTCAGACACTCCACACTTGTTATCAATCAGCATTCGGTTTCCAAGCAGAGGCATGAATGTCAAACTCTCCCATTCCGTCTTGAGTGAGCCCTGCCTCAGTTGCCTAGGCTACGTCCTGGCTACTCGTGCCAGACCAATTTCAGCCGAGGCAGGAAGCCTGTCAATTCAGAGTTTCATATCGGCACGCGCAATCCAAAATAACATAACAAAAATCCTTTACATGCTTTTCAGTCTTTTACAATATAAGACATCCTACATAGCGATGTTGTTATTAGCAAAGAAAGGTTTACGTAGGCCTAGGCCTACACTATGGAGCTGCTTGCTTGTCATGACATGACAATTATTTACACAGATCACTTGTTGGCTAAATACAGGAAGAAATATAAATGTATTAGACATAAATAAATAAAATATAGGTGTGGGTTAAAACACATTCAAATTTGTGTCAAATAGCATACATATCCAATGAATAGCCCATTAAGAAATAGATGTGGGATTCAGTCCAGTCAGGATCCGAATCAGAGCGTGCCAATCATGGTCCGTGCTATCCGGGATCCTACCCCAATGGTTAAGGTAAGGGTTAAAGTTAGGGTTATGGTTTGGGTTATGGTTAGGGTAGGGGTTAAGGGTTTGTCAGCTTGTCAGATGACATTGAAAAAAATTTAAGCGCACAAACTAGGCTACAAGGGAAAGGCGAACATAAATTAATTACAGTGTATCATAGTAGAAAATAGAGAGGGAGAACGAATAGAGAAACCAAAACAATGTTTCTTATCCGTGCCAAGTGCCTGGTAAAAAAGAGAAAAGCAGGAGGGAGGATGAGCTAAAGGAAAATAACAGGGACTATGAGCAAAAAAGAGTGCGGAAATTTCACGACAGCTATGATGGAAACAGGAAATTGTGGTACAATTTTATAAATGCCTAATGATAATTTGTTTGTTTGACATGATGGGATCTTTTTGTTCGGTAAAAATAATGATGCGAGAAATGGCGATGGGAATGCATTTACGTGCAAATATTGATATAATATGCCTAACCATCTTATCGACGTAAACTTGGAGTCACGCGATGATATGGTGTGTGGTCCTTCCACTATGACTTGGGAAAGCATGCAGTTTATTAGGCTACAGATTGAATAAATTATGATGAACTTCACATGGTGGTGAAAGTGCACGGTGATCTTGATGCTCCTTTCCAATAACTATCGAGGGTCTTATTCTGGAAACATGATGATTGATGCTTGGTAGAGTTGAAAATGCGATGGAAACACATTTAATTTTAGATTTTTATTCGGTACATGAAAACATATGCGAAAAAGTACATTTGTTGGAAACACACCACTAGCTAGGTTTCCGTCCAACTTGAGACAGATTTTCATGTGAATATTCTAAAGTCTGCATAAAACAAAATCCACATTTTCCCACCAGAGATGTGTTTCCATCAAACTGACTTATTGTGGATAAAATTATGTACATGATGATGTAGTGCACATCAAAATAACTTTTGCAGTTAAATTCCTATGTACTGAATGAAATATACAAGTTAAATGGGTTTCCATCACATTTTCAACGCAACTGATGGTTTTGTCAAAAAAACTGTTGTGTTATCAGTGGCGTGTAATCATGGATGCCAAGGGAAGCCAGGCTTCCCAAAAAAGTTGACCAATAAAAAAATACAAAAACATTAAATAATTTATATTTAGTCTCTCTGTGTTTCATAATTTTCCTTCAATTCACAAGAGGCTGAATCTATCTCACCGGAGAAAGCAACTAAGCGAGTGAAACAGCGCCCCTCTGTCTCTCTACGTGTAGGCCATCTCTCTGATGCTGTCTGGTCCAAACGAGTATGACATTGTTGTCGCCCATAGCATTCAATGGAATGCAAGGGAAGCCAGCGAGCATTTGGCCTCCCTTGATAAAAAAGTATACAAAATTTGCCAATCAGCGTTGAGCTAAAAAAGTGTCATGGGAAGCCAGCTTGGATTTTGGCGTCACTCCTATAATAATTGCATTGAGAGCATACATCATTGACTGAAACAACTTGAACTGTTGCATCTCGTTATGTTGTTGTCCTCCGGTGGCTAGCTAGCTAGCTAAAGTTGGCCCTTTCCTAAATTAGCCATGGATGGAGATAGGGATTTGGACTTGTGGTTTTACTTAATTCTCGGTAATACATTACTTAATTCTCCGTAATACATTAATTATCCATTAATTAATACATTGCCCCTGGTCTGAGAGGATGGAAGTTCAATATGTAGCTAGATAAATGACGTAAATGTAAATGTAATGTAGAAGGCTAATGTTAACTAGCTAACGTTGCCCATGAATGGAGGTTAGGCTAGCGAGCAAGCATTTTAGCCAGGTAGCCTAGGACAACAAAATATAAAAGCGTGTACTGTATGACAGAGTGATAGACTGTTTCATCAACATGAAAGAGAGGAGGATGGCATTGGCGTTTCTCTACAAGTAGGGTGAGTCAACATATTTTTCTACTTGCACGAACGTGCACACACACAAACACGCACAAATTAGAAGCATGGACAGCCACATCATATTTAGCTTACGTTGATTGGACTAAATTGTTTTTGGTATCTTTTAGTTGTCACTGTACTAGACTAAGCAGAGGTGTTGATGATGTTGAAATGTTGAAGTTGAAATGGTGCTGGAATAGTGGAGGCAGCTTCTGTTTTCTTTTAAACTTGTGGTAACTCTCTGTGGTTCTAAATCAATAGTTGTTTAGTGGTCCAAAAATGTTGGAAACATTAACTTGCTTGACCATGCTGTAGGTCATGTAACTGTTTGTTACATGCAATATGCTTTGTGGACTAAACCGGACAGAGGTTGCTATCCGTTTTTGTGATAAAACAAAGGTGTGGTTGAATTTATTCTGCCACTGTGTCTTCTTATTGTCTCTGCCTTTAGGCCTATATATCACGGTTGCAAGGCATATGAATTAACAGGTTATAGAGCAAACAACGCAATTATCACAACATATAGGTTGTAATAAAAAAAAAATTCGGGCTTCCCCAGTGATTTTACCCACGCACTGCTACTGTGCGTTATATAGCAAACATGCCAAGTCTGGGCTTGGGTGCGTTCTAAACAAAAGCTTGCAGATACAGTACGGGTAGGCTACCTAAATTATGAGATTATTATGGATAAGAGCGATATTATTTTTATTTTTCAAACGGCAGCCAAGCATCGATCATCATTATCTGTAAGTCGCTCTGGATAAGAGCATCTGCTAAATGACGTAAATGTAAATGTAATGTCACAAGAATAAGACCCTCAATATTTAAAGGAGCATCAAGCACACTTTCACCACCCTGTGAAGTTCATCATAACTTATTTCATTTGTAGTCTCATAAAATGCATGGTTTCCCTAGTCATAGTGGGAGGACCACACAACATATAATTGCGTGACTCTAAGTTTACTTCGATATGATGGTTATTATATCTATATTTGCGCATAAAGGCATTTCCACTGCAATTTCTCACATAATTAATTTTACAGACACAAAAAGATTGTCTGTCGGCATTTATAGAATTGTACCAGCATATCCTGTTTCCATCAGCCCAGTCGTGACTTTTTTCATGCGTCATGTAATTCATCCGCATGAAATGTTTGGATGGAAACCTAGCTACACTGAACAAAAATATAAACGCAACATGTAAAGTGCTGGTCCCATGTTTCATGAACTGAAATAAAAATATCCCAGAAATGTTCCATACGCACAAAAAAGCTTATTTCTCTCAAATTTTGTACACAAATTTGTTTACATCCCTGTTAGTGAGCATTTCTCCTTTGCCAAGATAATCCATCCATCTGACAGGTGTGGCATATCAAGAAGCTGATTAAACAGCATGATCATTACACAGGTGCACGTTGTGCTGGGGACAATAAAAGGCCACTCTAAAATGTGCAGTTTTGTCACAACACAATACCACAG